CTTAAAATTCTTGGTTCTGGTAAAACACAAGCAAAAAACAGAATCACTTTCATTGAAAATATTTAACTTCTTCGATGTCCTATGAGACTGCATGAAAGTACGAGACATTTCTGAACTCCAATAACTTTGGATAGTCTACATGCTTCGGAGTAAAAAATATTCCAAGAGAATCGATCCATAGGTAGCTACCTAAAGGCTAAAAGGCAAACTTACCTTTAACTAAAATATTTTTGTGACCATTTATTCGTTTGACCTCCTTAACAAATTGCGTAAGGCGTAAGATTTTCTAGCATCGCAGTTATATGCACTAATTGCTACAACTCAACGTCGTTTTGCAAGCTAAAGATCGTTTTATTATTTTAAACTTCCTGGTTCAAGTCCAATCGCAGCAAGCATGAGTATGATGCAAGAATTTCGTATACTTCATCGCGTACGTTCACAGTCAAACGGTGCTAGATTAACCCATGAAATGAGTCAACGACTTCTAGGAAAATTTGCGCTCGACTGCAACGTGCTCAATTGCTGCATTTCTATTGTTTGGTCATGCACATGTTCTTGGAAAAATACTCTTTGCTGGTGCACAACCTCTGCGCGCTGCGTTGCTCTCTGCCCACGTGGTTATCCAATTATATTATTTATGTGTTTTGTCTACCAGAACCTGCCCTATGTTGCATTTCATAACATAACGTATAGAAAATCATATTGGAGACCAATATTTTATTGGATTCCTAACTGACAGAATCTAATAGTAGTGTACTTTTAAAGAGTTTTTATTACTTCGCAAACATATATGAGTCTATCAAGATGTAGTTTGTTGGTGACAGCGGGGTGTTGGTTGCCCTCGTTTTGTCTCTTCTTCCGGATGAGGAGGACATGAGGATGTTTTAAAGATCTGAGGACAAACGCACTCATTGACCTTCGTAGAGGGTTATTTTCCACTATGTAAGCAAGTGTTGTATATTTGTTTACGATTCAATTTGCCGAACAGCTAGTCATAATCAAAAATCGTATGTTTTGTTTCATTTAAGATAAGCTGGTAGTATATGGAGAAATTATTCTGAAAATTAAGGATCGCACTTTTTATAGAGCTAAAGTACTTGCCTTCTGACATTTCAGTCCTTAATTGACTGTTGGACGAAAAGGAGGGAAGAGAGGGAAACGGGGAGAGGGGAGGAGAGGATGCAGGAGAAAGAAAAGGGAGGAAAGAAGGCAGTGCAATAAGGGCCTGCAAAAGTCATTCTTTAACTAGTTACTTTTCCTCTTATAGCCACCACCTTCTTAG